GGTGGGCAACTTGCGGCTCCGGAGCCGCGTGCGGCGGCTCTTTGAGGACTGCTTCGTGGCTCCCGACACAATAATCGCAAAGTAAAAACACCCTCGTTATTCATCTTCTTTGGTTCTTTCGATAAAGTCACGTAGAATGAGAATAAAATAATAAAAGAACACAATAAAATTCTCACGACGTTTCGGCCACAACGCAAGCGGCCGTCTTCAGGTGAAAGGAACAGACCTGTCGGGACGACAGAGCTTCAATGAACGATGTTAAGATTCGGATTGGGAACATGTAGACAATATGACTACCTCTTCGGCTGCCACTATGTCGACCAAATGTAGGGACAATTTGATTTCCAAATTCAATCACCTCTCCAACAAAAAATCGGATCCACACACCGAAAAGATAGACGTCAACAAAGTCATAATTAATCGTAGTAACAGTTCCATTTCTGATGGCCTGAAATCCGTTTTAGCTAAAGGTCTAAACTTTGCTGTCACACCGAGACACATACCAGTTAATGATATCATTGCCCATGTCGACGTTGCACTCAAGGGCTTGAGTCACATCTCTGCAGACGTAGCAAGATCAGAAATCACTGCAACCCTCAAAAACGCTAAGATGTCACCTAGCAACATCAGCAAAGATGAACGCTTTGAATGATCTCAATTAAAAATGACAGGTGATATTGTCGTCCTCTCAGCCGACAAGGGCAATGCCACTGTCATCATGGACAAAACAGAATATAACAACAAAATTCAAGAACTACTCAACGATGACAGCTATACAAAAATAAAAAGATATCCCACCAACAGCTTGATTACCAAAACGAACAAAATCATCTCTGATTCAACAGCATTAATTGATCAGACCAAACAGTTCTCGTTGAAACCCTCTGTTGCCAGACCACCAAGATTATATGGCCTCCCAAAGATACACAAAGAAGATACACCCCTTCGTCCCATCGTCTCTACTATCAACTCCCCCACCTATAAACTAGCACGTTTTCTTGCTGATATACTACGACCTTTCACTGGAAAAACCACCTCTGCGGTACTAAATTCCACTCACCTAGTATCGACAATCAAAGGGATGTCCCTGTCCCCAGACGACCTGCTTGTCAGTTTTGATGTGGTGTTCTTGTTCACAAAAGTTCCGGTACCTGATACCATCGCTATCATTGAAGACCTGGTTCATCAAGGACTGCACACTGATGTACCCCCCCTGGTGAGACATTGCTTAACCAACACATACTTCACCTGGAATGGAACTTTCTACAAACAAACTGAGGGCACCCCAATGGGCTCCCCCCTATCTCCGGTTGTAGCCAACGTATTCATGGAAAAATTCGAAACGGACGCCATCCAGACTGCCACTCAACGCCGGACCTTATGGAAGAGGTACGTAGATGACACTTTTGTCATCTGGCCACATGGCCAGCCTGCTCTAGACCAATTCCGCGACCACATCAATTCCATACACCCAGCCATCAGATTTACCATGGAGGTCGAAAAAGATGGCAAAGTACCCTTTTTGGATGTCTTAATTAAAAGGAGACCTGATGGTTCAATGAGCCACTCTGTCTACATGAAAGCTACCCATACAGATGCTTACTTGAAACCGGATTCCCACCACCATCCATCCCAGAAGAACTCCCTCATCAAGACTCTACACCATAGAGCCCAATGCATTTCCAACCAGGAACACATTACCAGTGAACTCAAGCACGTACACCAGGCTCTCAGAGCTAATGGTTACTCCGACTACACAATCCGCAAAACCATCACTCCAGTCAGGAAGAAGGATCCTCTTGTTGAGCCACTCAAAACCATCACCTTACCCTACATTGCAGGGGTCACAAAAAAGATCTCCAAAATCCTGAATAAACACAAGATCCAGGTCCGATTCAACACAGTACATAAAATCCGTGATCTGGTTCCATCTGTAAAATATGCTGTTCCAGACATACAGTACCCGGGCGTTTATAAACTAAAGTGCCTCTGTGGTAGTAGCTACATTGTAGAAACCAAACGACACATCTCGGACCGCATCCGCGAACATAAAGCAGACTTGAAACACGGCAGAACGAACTCCTCTGCCGTGGCAGATCACTGTTATAATTCAGTGGGCTCACATGACATTGACTTCTCCAAGACAGAGGTTATTTGCAAACCAACCGGCTACCATGAGAAATTCGTTCATGAGGCCATCCACATATACAAACAGAGACAATTTCAACCGAGAAGATGGATTCTGGCTTAGTAACCATTGGAAAGATGTTTTAAACAATTTCGGTTCTTAATTGTATTTTACGATGACCTTCAGACCGCAGCTCTTTCGCTGGCACTGACTCTTAATACCTCTCACACCACGGTTAATGGTATGGTTTATAACATGGAGTATAACAGCGCCTCGCAGCTGTTTCTCCCCTCCTTCCTCCTCCGCTCCGACCATGGATGGACTCGCCCGTCTGAACGGGGCTCGTAGCTGTCCGTGGTGCTGAAGTGGAAGGTAAGAATCCACCCGTTTTTTCACCATATAACACTGTGATATAACATTTAGGTAGTTTATATTTTTGTTTTTATTGGTTTACTATATGGTATTCATTATATAGTGTAGTGTATACCCAGTTAATGTTAATAGCTCAGCTTATTGTAGAATATATTGAGTACATTTATTATATTGATGTAATTTAGAATCAGGTTTTTCACATCGGTTTACTGTATGACAGTTGAGTTGTTGCAGCCCCCTTTGGCGTCCATGTACGAGGTGCCTCTGTGGATGTGTAGGCTTTGACTTTAACATCTATTTCTGTGACCAGTCACAAGCTAATCCCTTAGCTATTTCAATGCTAAATTACTAGTTGCCTCTGTGGATGTGTAGGTTTTTACTTTAACATAGCCATTTCCGTGACCAGTCACAAGCTAATCCCTCAGCTATTTGATATGTAAAACCCCTTTGTCAAGGTGCCTCACTTCTCCCAACCAGCTTAAAGTCGCTACGAATCTTAACAGCGTTCATTGAAGCTCTGTGGATGTGTAGGCCTTTACTTTAACATCTATTTCTGTGACCAGTCACAAGCTAATCCCTTAGCTATTCCAATGCTAAATTACTAGTTGCCTCTGTAGATGTGTAGGTTTTGACTTTAACATAGCCATTTCTGTGACCAGTCACAATATAATCCCTCAGCTATTTGATATGTAAACCCCTTTGTCAAGGTGCCTCACTTCTCCCAACCAGCTTAAAAGTCGCTACGAATCTTAACATCGTTCATTGAAGCTCTGTCGTCCCGACAGGTCTGTTCCTTTCACCTGAAGACGGCCGCTTGCGTTGTGGCCGAAACGTCGTGAGAATTTTATTGTGTTATTTTATTAATTTATTCTCATTCTACGTGACTTTACCGAAAGAACCAAAGAAGATGAATCCTTGCAGTCACGAAAGCTTTAAATCGAAACCCTCCTAATTATTTTCGATCAATGGTGAACGTCTAAAAGCCCAACAATTATTTGAAATGCGACAAGTCATTGTGCGTGCGCTGTTCTTAAAATAGTGATTAATAAAAATACATGGTTTGACGTGATTCATTCAGGACCGTCTTTGTATTCACATGCATTGCAGCTCTCGAAATATTGAGTTTTTTTACCGAATTCTAAGAAAATAGCTCTTCTTGTTGTATTCGTTGCCGACCCCTGGCCAGTACATATCACATTGTTCAAACGAATATCCAAAAACTCACAAAGACCCAGAACTAACAGAGGACCCTTGCCCATGAACTGAATATAAATATCGGTCTAAAGTTTGCTTGTGTTGAACCAATGCTGCTCAAATGATGGACTTCCATTGGTTCGTGTAGCTAATTGGGATGTGTAATTTTTTGTATTTTGTTACTTATAACTCTCCAGCATTATTATTGTGTCATGTATTACATTAGCATCAGTCACCACTCATGACCTCCGATACAAGTGCATGTACGTATGCAGTGCGTGTGCATGAGGTGGACATGTTGATGCTCATATGTATGCGTTCATGTGTACGGTTTGTAAATAGCATTCAGAATTGTTTGATTAAAAACCTTCACAGAAGGAAAACTTGAAACAAAAAGCAACCAAATTCAATAAAATAGCACACAAAATATGACATCTATAGAACTAGGGGCATGCAAATCGACACAGCCACACGGCACAACACCAACAGGGGAACTCACACACTGGCGTGCAACAGGAACCCCACACTACCCCAGCGTTATCGTGATAGATAACTCTCCTTGACAATGTTGACGTGAACATCTGTATAACTATGCTTAAATAAGACACAACTCAAAAAAGCACAAGCAGGTTGCTTGTGCACACGCAGCCTCGCACGAGTTGTGAAGCTCAGTAAATGAGAAAGCAGGAACATGAGAACACTGTTCCTGTATTAGATGCGCCTCTACAGGACATGCATGAAGCGTTGCCTCGAGTGGCCACGATGTTGGTGCCTACAGCCACGTCCATTCCACGTTCTACAGGGTGCCAAGTTCCGTGCACAGACGCACTCGTGATCCAGCGGACGATCTCACCAACACGAGCAAATTCTTCACCAAGGGGGATTTCTTTATACAACAATCATGATATGTTACCCAGGAAAGCCACTTGGTTCACAATTGGAAGATACATTAATTAAATTTTGTCAATAACATTGCATGCTTATCATTCATGAAGTGGTGGCTACCTCGGTTTGACTGCCAGACACGGCTAACATCAGTGATGAGTGATATCTGAAGCTACCGTGGACTCCTATTTTAAATCTGCACTGACCACTGTGGTGAAGTATGGTCAAACCACCCCTATGAGCAACACAGAGTGGGGAGCCTTCATCCAGCGGTGGCTTGGCAAAAGGGCTGCAGCTGTAGTCTGCTGACACGAGTGCTGCATGTGTGGGCTCATTATGAACACATCATGACCTGATCTTGAGATGCTTCGGAACAGGGTTAATATTGCTTAGCTCTCCTATTTATTTGTTCGTTTGAGTCAAGACTACTTGAATAACAGTACAGTCTACTGCTATTTCAATCCACTGCTGCATGAAGCCCTCCCCATGGTGTCAGCCATGGAGCCTATTCAAGTACAATACAAGTCGTTCCTGGATGAGCCAAGGACATCGTCATCATCAGTATTATTATTGACAAACACAAAACGCGGTGTTTGTAGTTCGGCTCCCTGCCCAATCACATTTCATGCATAAACACAATCACAACACAATCACAGCAACACATTGGCACATACAATGAATGAAACACATATCATGGCTGCAATGACAACAAATCACAATTTGCTAAGTAAGCAGAGCAAGACACTGGGTTTCCAATGAAGGGGCTAGACCAGTGTTCTTCATTGCAAGGCCCGTGGGTCACTGGCGGTCCCTGGTGGCCTTTAGTGCGGCCCCTAACAAGACACAACACGTGACAACACCCCCCATCATCGTGCTGCTGGAAAACCCCCAATGGTTTCAAATGTGTGGCGGCCCTCTTACTGATGATGTCTTATTGGCAAAAGTGCTCCCCCCCCTCTGAAAACTAGTGAAGAACACTGGACTAGATGGTCACAGCCCAAACATTTTGAACTCGCAACCTTCTGACCCGAGCCGCTCGCTCGACCGCTGAGCTGCCATTGTTACACGACGGCGAACTATGGTTCAATGGTGCAGATACGGAAAATAACACGAAACCGGTCTTAACGAGCCAGCAGTCGCAACCCACACATCTTACGATTCGCCTTGAACACGGCAATGCTTGCGGACGTGTTCTCGTGAACAGGGGAGTGTGCAGTCACCAACACCGCGTTGTGCGCGCAGTCACCACCACCGCGCCTCATGTGCGGTCACCGCACACCGCAAGTGGTTCGAGTTGAGAGGGCTTGAAGGCCACTTTGACCAAGGCTGTCCAGGGATGTAACGGCAATGGTGACGTACGGGGATCCTGACCCTTACGGCACTTTGCTGTCACCGGTGTACAACATTCAAACACACGCAAATCATCGACAGCCTACTGGCTGTACCGCCTTGCTCCTCTCACATGGAATTATATTGCATTTGTTTTACATTACAAAAAAACATTCTGACCCAGCCATTAGATGCTGAAGAGATGTGAAGGCAGGCCCATGGGTCTCTGTGTAAGTCTATGAGGTCTCGCCAGTCTACAGGTTTCTTCTGAGTCTTTGGATATCCATGAAGTCTATCGGTATCTCTGTATGTCTATGTCTTTTTAATATCGGTAATATCAGATTTTCATCCCTCTTATATATTGTAATTTTAATTCATCAATAATGTGTTTAAATTATGTTACCACTGATGTTAGCCATAGCTGTAAATCGAACTGAAATTGCTAGGTCCATAGTGCAGTGAGCTAATCACTCTGCCACCAATCCATCTATGGTTATCTATGTAAGTTTTATGGGTCTCTATATATGGGTCTATATGCCAATCTATGGGTCCGTGTAAATTTATGCACGTTTCCGGGTCTCAATGCAAGTCCTCGGGTGTCGGTGAATCCGAGGCTTGCGTGATGCCACACAGGCCATCCTCCACGCGACTCTTTGGCTGGAAGGCACAAGGAACGGAGAAGCCGCATGAGAGAGCCACATGGACACGTACGCACCTCGGCTCCGGAGAGACAGACCCCTCCCATTCACTGTAAATTATATAGTCTAGAGGGCAATTGCAAAATCCACGCGATGGATGTGCTTGTGTTGCTGATGAGAGCAAGGACCTGGGCAGACGGTTGTGTTAAGGGGTCAGGCTTCTGGGAAACACTGGCAATGTGGCCTGAGTCAGAGATCCCCTCTTCCCTTGCAGCTGAAATGACAAACGTGAAGGTAAGAAAGTGTATAGGAGAGCATCAACGTACTTTTAAGTTTAAAAAATAAAAACAACACAAAATATAGAACGAAAATGTAAAAGTGTGCAAAGAATCAAAATGGGGAGATTCGTACTTGGAAATTACACCTAGAGACAGAAAGAGGAGCACGTGGATTAGAGAACGCAGGCAGGTTAGAGACATTGTCCCACTTAGGAGACCGGTCATGGCTAGAAGGTACGATGGCCGAACAATCCGGAATAGTGACAGAGTGGCCGCCAGGAGCTGAGCACGCCCGAGAGGACACTTGCCGAGGAGATGGTGCTTTAAAATCAGTTCATGTGCCGGTGTTGGAATGGATCATTACATCGAAGTGTCGTGAAAGGTTGTAGCGGCTAGGGGAGGACTTCATCCAGCAGTGGATTGACCATGGCTGAGGTATTTTCTGGGTGTGTCCGAGTGTATTCTGGTGTACCCAGGTATATCTAGGTGTTCCCATGTGTACCCAGGTGTGTCTGGGCATTACCCAGGTGTATCCGGGTGCACTCAGGTGTACTCAGGAGTACCCATGTGTATCCAGGTGTTACCCAGGTGTATCCAGGTGTATCCAGGTGTTACCCAGGTGTATCCAGTTGTTACCCAAGTGTATCCAGGTGTACCCAGGTGTATCCAGGTTTTACCCAGGTGTACCCAGTTGTCTCCAGGTGTTACCCAAGTGGGTCCAGGTGTTACCTGGGTGTCTCTTGGTGTTATACAGGTGTGTCAGGGTGTTACCAAAGTGTATCTAGGTGTGTCCACGTGTGTTCAGATGTACCCAAGTGTGTCCGGGTGTGTCCAGGCATAACCTGGGTGTGCCCAGGTATACCTATGTGTACCCGGGTGTTACTCAGGTGTGTCCGGGCATTACCCGGGTGTCTCTGGGCAGGCGCACCTGTTTGGTGAGGCGGCTGTGCAGGTTGCTCTTCAGAAGCCATTGGTGTTGCAAGGCCCCCTTGGCACTCAGCCGCCACCTAATAAAGAGAGTGGTAGCGCAGCAATTAGCGCAAATAGTTCAGTTCCTCATCACTTCCGTCATCAGTGCCGGTTGTTATCTTATGGTGATTAGGATGTCTAGACTCTTCCTACCTCTCTCGAATTTTAAGCTGAGAGCTGGCATGGTTTTGTGAATTTATGAAAAATCCAGATACATGTGTAGTGACATCGCGGGATGTCACTGTGCAGTGCCGGCCCTAGAGGCACGGTGTGCGGTGTAGCGACATCATGGACACCACAATGGTGTGGGTGTAGTACCGGCCCTAGAGGGGCCTGGTGAGCGCTGATTGATAGCGCTGGATGGCACCACGCTTGGTGTGCAGTACGGCAGGGCCGTAAGAATGAGGTTACTAAAGGCCATGGCACTCTGGCTGACCCGAGAGGACACGTGACCAGTTAAGTCTCCAAAGGGGCCCAAGTGGTCACGTGATTGGGATCCAGATCCTTCCCGAGGATTCTGGAAGGTGGTCGTGGCCAAGGGCGGAGCCAGCCACGCCGCAGAGAATAGAAGACGGGTCCCCAGAGGGACCAGGGTTGTTGTTGTTCATCTTGAAGAAACCTTGGTCTACGTTCTCCGCTCAACGAGTCTCCAACACGTGGACCTGGACCTGAGCTGTGGTCTCGGTCCGTAGTAGCTAGTGGCGTTGTAATTAGTGTAGTTAGCCTGGTGGTCACCACCATAGGTTACCCCATGTGTTGGTGTTAAATAAATGTGTTGCCTCCAAGTATACATCTGCGACTCAGTTGAACTCACTACACATGTAACGTGGTGGGTTAAACCACGAGGTTATATGGGCATGTATTGTACCACACACCAGCTGTCAGCATTCACCTCTTGCATTCCTATGGCAGGCACGACTCTATCCATAGAACAATCACTGGTGACTTACCCACAAAGCGGTTCCCCATTTAGAGTATTGACCCCAAAGTATAATGGCCTGAGTCAACCCCCTCGCTCAAGTACTGAGCCACCCGGCCGGACAACACTGCCTCAACTCAAACACACGCACACACACATGCAGACGAGCACGCACACCCACGCACACGTGCACAGGCACACTCTACCGCACACACTCATGCACGTATAAGCGCACGAGCGTGCATGCGCACACACGGACACGCATACAACATGCACACATGGACACGCGACACGCGTAAACGCACGGACACGCATACACGCACGGACATGCATACACGCACACACTCAAAACGCACACATGCACGCGCACTGGCACACTGGAACGCACACATGCATGCACGCATAAGCGCGCATGCCTGCACGCGCACACAGACACGGGTACACACACGGACACACATACATGCACACACTCAAACGCGCACATGCACACACACACGTGCACAGGTGCAAAGGCACACTGAAACGCACACGTGTATGTATGCATAAGCGCACACGCCTGCACGTGCACACACGGACAAGCGTACACGCAAATACCCACACAAGCACGTGCACACTCACCCCTTCCCCTTGACGAGGAGGTTTGTAATGAAGTCCTTTGCGTCTTCAGACACCTCGCTAAACACCTCCCCATCAAACTCCCAGTTGGAGGTAACGATGTTGTTCAGTGTCTCACTCTCATCGTCACCCAGGAATGGAGAGAGGCCACTGAGGCTGGGACACATGGAGCCAAGGGGGAAGTGGAGACAGAAACGCAGGACATGGGAGTCATGGGCAACACGGGGATGTGGTGACACAGAAACAGGGATATGTAATTTTCAAATAATATTTAAATTAAATCTTGACTTAAAGCCTTCGTGGCTGCAGGAATTCATACTCTTTGGGTCTTTCAGTTGTGTTGTGATCGAAACGTCGTGGCTTTTTGTTATTTTATTTGAACCATCTACGTAACTTTACCGAAAGACCTAAAGAATATCAATTCCTGCAGTCACGAAAGCTTTAAGTAAATATTTAAATGCCTCTACGGGGAGGGTTTCCACACAACTATTAGATATTTTAACAAACTTCGAGACAAGAAGGCTCATCTGATCGAGTCGCTCACATTTCTTATGAGATGCTGCGACACTAAGGTAATACCGATCGCCTTTACACTGACATCTGCTGCTATCACATCTCCTAATGCTGAACGGATCTTGTTCAGGGCCGGTTTAGCCCTGATCTCAGAGAGAATAACATTGCTCCGATTTGAACTGGATATTTTAGACAAGACTCTCCTGAAATCACACTTAACATTGACGGAAAAAATGTCTACATCTGAATGGGAACATGTAGGTAACATGACAGCCTCTTCAGCTGCCTCAATGTCAGCTAAATGCAAAGATAACCTGATTTCCAAGTTCAACCTCATTTCCAAGAAGAAGCCAGATCCACACATTAAAAAGTTAGACGTTGACAAAATTGTTATCAATCAGAGTAACAGTCTAATTTCCGATATCCTAAAATCGGTTCTAGCTAAAGGGTTGAATTTCGCAGTCACCCCTAAACACATCCCAGTGGTTGATATCATTGCCCAGGTCGATGTAGCCCTTAAGGGTTTGGGACACATTACTGCAGACGTGGCAAGATTGGAAAATAACAAAATTCAGAACCTACTTAATGATGGTAGCTATACAAAAATTAAAAGAGATCCCACCAATAGCTTAGTTACAAATACCAACAATATCATCACCGATTCGACATCTTTAATCGAACCAACCACGCGGTTTTCCTTAAAACCCTCTGCTGTTAGACCACCCAGATTGTATGGCTTGCCAAAAATCCATAAAGAAGGTACACCCCTTCGTCCTATCATCTCCACCATTGACTCACCCACCCACAAACTGGCCTGATTTATGTCTGAGACCTTACAACCATTCACTGGCAAGACCACCTCAGCTGTACTTACCTCAGCTCACTTGGTATCATTAATTAAGGACATATCACTATCTCCAGGTGATTTGCTCGTGAGTTTCGATGTATTCTCTTTGTTTACCAAAGTTTCTGTGCCTGACACCATTGCAATCATTGAAGACTTGGTCCAACAAGGACTGAATGCTGATGTACTGGCCCGGGTGAGAGTGTTGGTGAGGCAGTGGCCTCACCAACACTTACTTCACCTGGAATGGAACATTCTACAAACAAGTTGAAGGTACCCCATTGGTACTCCCTTATCTCCAGTTGTAGCCAATGTTTTCATGGAAAAGTTTGAGACAGATGCCATCCAGGCATCCACTCTACGTCCGTCCTTGTGGAAGAGGTACATAGATGACACGTTCATCATCTGGCCATATGGCCGACCAGCTCTGAACCAATTCCTCAACCACATCAATTCCATACACCCAGCCATCAAATTCACCATGGAAGTGGAAAAGGATGGCAAGCTACCATTCTTGGATGTTTTAATCGAAAAGAGACCAGATGGCTCAATAGGACACTCTGTCTACAGGAAAGCCACCCATATGGATGCCTACCTAAAACCTGACTCCCACCACCATCCATCCCAGAAGAATTCCCTCATCAAAACTCTACACCATAGAGCTCGATGCATTTCCGACCATCATCACCTAGCCAGTGAGTTGGAACATGTACACCAATCTCTCAAAATGAATGGATATTCAGACTACACAATCCGTAAAGCTATCACCCCAACTGTTGGGAAATAACCATCTGAGGACCACATCAAAACCATCACCTTGCCATACCATAGCAGGGGTCACCAAAAATATTTCCAAAATCATGAACAAACACAAGATCCAGGTTCGATTTAACACAGTACGGATCTGATCCATCTGTGAAGGATGTGATCCCTGATATGCAATACTCCGGCGTCTATAAAATAAGCTGTGTCTGTGGCAGTAGTTACATTGGGGAAACTAAGCGACATGTATCAGACCGTGTTCGTGAACATAAGGCAGATCTGAAACACTGTAGGACCAATACCTTAGCCGTGGCTGATCATTGTTTTAATGCGGTGGGCTCACATGAAATTAATTTCTCTAAGACGAAGGTACTTTGCAAACCCACTGACTATCAACAAAGATTCGTTCATGAAGCCATCCATATGTAGTGACATCGCGGATGTCACTGTATGGTGCCGGCCCTAGAGGGGCATGGCGTGCGATGTACTCACATCGCGGACACCACATATGTAGCAGCATCCTGCATGTCACAAAGTAATGACGGCTCTAGCAAGGTACGGAGTGCGATGCACCGTCATCGCGGACACCCCGTAGGTAGGTATAGTACCAGCCCTAGTGAGGGCTTGGTGAGCGCTGGGATAGCGCAATGGCACAACGCATGGCGTGCAGTGCTGTCTCCCACCGGAGGGAGTGAGAGAGTGTCAGCCCGGGGACAGGGTTACCCTGGGTCATGGCACTCTGGTTGACCCCGAAGGCACGTGACCGGTAACGTCTACAGGGGGGCCCCCAGATGGGGGCTAAAGGGTGGTCACGTGTCCGAGGAAAGTTGTCTCAAGAAGAGTCGAGAGCCAGAGCTCTCTCGAAGGTGGGCGGGGCCAAGGGCGGAGCCGGCCCCGACCCGGGAGCATGTAAGCCGGGTCACCACAGGGACCGGGGTTCGTTGTTGCTACCGTCATCCGAAAATCTACGTTCTACATCTACAAGAGTCTCCAACACTTGGTCCGGAACCTGAGCCGGGGTCTGGTCCATTGTAGCTAACTCCCAGTGTGTTAGTGTAGTTAGTCGGGTGGTCCACCTCCCTAGGCTGTTATCTGGTAAAAGGGGCAGCTACACGTTTGTGTATTTGTGTAATAAATGTGTTGCCTCTAAGAAGTACGTCTGCGACTCAGTTGGGCCCACGACACATAAATACACACAGACACAATTTCAACCTAGAAGATGGATTCAAACTTGGCAATACAGGTAGTCCTCTACTTACGATGAAGATGCGTTACGACGACCCCATCGTAAGTCAAAAAATATCGTAAGTCGAAGATGGCCTAGCCTACCCAGGAGTCTTAAAGAATGGTGATAATTTAGCAAAACAGAGCAATTTACAGTACCGTACTGTATAAACTATATACTGTATGTATTTATTAATTACAATACCGTATTGCACAGTAAAATGTAAAGTAAAAAAACAAGGTACAGTACATGCACTAACACCGAGACAACTTAACTCCGTCAACCGCTGGTGAGAGTGAGGCATCACACAAGGTGGGAGATGCGTACATTCCGGCAGCGTTCCAACGGACAGTATCGTATCTCGTATGCTGCTGCGTTTGCCTGCTGCGCGAAATTTAAAATATTTTTCAATTTTGTTATATCGCTATCGCCATCGTAAGATCGAAATATCGTAAGTCGGACCATCGTAACTCGGGGACTATCTGTAATTGGAAGGACGTTATCAACCAGTTTAAGTCATAACTGGCTGTGATGTTCCCCGTAGCTTCGGCTCTCCAATTTCACATTAACAGGTTGAATTTCTCGTGCCAACGTGGCCACCTACAGACGCTGACCTCTACATCGCGGTGGCTCTGCGATCTTACATTAACATGCTAATCTCTCACATTAACGTAGCCACCCGCGCACTTCGTTTATGACCCGAAGACTACACCCTATAGAACAGTCAGCAGCTTTCCTTCCTCTGATGATGATCACTTGTGTTGTGATCGAAACGTTGTTTATTTTTTTCTTTGAACCATCTATGTGACTGTACCGAAAGACCCAAAGAATAATAACCTTTAAATTCTGACTGTGATGCCGGCAAATAATGGCCTAGGTTATTGGATGGTCTTCGAATGACGTTACGGGATCTTTGACGTCCACTGTGAAGTGGACATCGAGGAGCAATTTGCGGTCGATTTGCACCGTGGTGTTGACCGTGGTGGCCAGACAGGTTTAAATTGCAACCCTCTGTAACAAGCAGTGAGCGGGGCGACCACTCGCGCTGCATCAACAAGGACCGTGGTGTCACCACTGCATGTTTAAAAAGCGTCCTGCTCGAGTTTTTTTTACACAGTCGCCGGAGCAAAGTGGGCCTAAAGGAGTAACACGTTAAGCGGCCAGCATCAAATAGACTCACAAAGTTTTTAATGGATAAAGAGTGGTGGAAGAGGTTTCTTGAAATGAGCGAAGCCATTGGCAAATGAGAGAGCGGGAAGAGCTTTCATGACTGCAGGAATTCATATTCTTTGGGTCTTTCGGTAAAGTCAGATAGATAGGTTGAAAGAAAAAACTATGACATTTCAATCACAACACAAGCGATCATCATCAGTAGGAAAAAAAGAGTAAAGCTGCTGAGGCAGACTGTTTAAAAGGTTTAGAATGGGTGTAGCCCAAGGGTCATAAACAAAGTGGGCAGGGCTAGTGATGTTAATGTGAAAGATTAGCATGTTAATGTAAGATCCACGGACGACATCCAAGACGGCGCGTAGGTGGCTATGTTAACGTGAGAGATTAGCAAACTACCTCAAGAAAGGCACCGTGGAAGGAATGGCCACAGCCGTCGATCCACAAGATGGCTGGTGGGAATGCAGAGGATCCAGCACCGGGGGTGGGATGAGAGCGTGCTTGAGGACATTGTGGGAACATTGTGGGAACGCCGCACAGCGGTCGCACACAAGAATGAGCTCTTATGCTTCAATAACCTTGCTCAACCCAGGAAACGCATTCACCTATCCATTACAGCTTCCAATAGTGCTGTGTGCTTGCTGGCCACTCGCGCTCAGTTATTTCGGCAAACAGAGATTTTTTTTTTCCGGTTTGAAGCGAATGCTTGTGTAGCGTCATTGACAAGCATTATATATAGCGTCATTAAATTTCGATTTAAAGCTTTCGTGACTGCAAGGATTCATCTTCTTTGGTTCTTTCGGTAAAGTCACGCAGAATGAGAATAAAATAATAAATTGATAAAATAAAATAACAATAAAATTCTCACGACGTTTCGGCCAAAACACAAGCATGTTATTTTATTTTATCAATTTATTATTTTATTACGTTTCGGCCACAACACAGCTTGTGTTGTGGCCGAAACGTCGTGAAAATTTTATTGTGTTATTTTATTTTATCAATTTATTATTTTATTGTCATTCTACGTGACTTTACCGAAAGAACCAAAGAAGATATAGCTTCATTGTTAGGCATTGCATATACTCGCCTGTAGTAGCAGACATGTGTCCATAGGGGGTGGTAACTCAGGATGGGTAGGATGAGTCGGGCCGTTGGGACACTAGGTTCTCCAAGCCCCAAGAGAGGGGTTGGGGGGATATTCCAGAGCCCCCTAAAGAGTTCCAGAAGGAGGGCGTGGCTAGGGACGGAGAGACCCTGGCATGAGTATCAAAGCCGGACCTCTGGACGAGTCTGGCAGCCTTCGTCAAGCTGAAGAAAGAAGACCAGCTAGACTAGGACCCTGGGAACTCCCAGATCTGACGTCCTTCTAAGGGCCGGGGCTGTAGTGGACCAGTGTTCGGGACCCATGGACCTTGGCTGGGTCGGGTCAGGTAGCCTCCCCTTAGGTCCCCTTAGCCGGAGGGTTGAGAGTACTAGCCCCAGTGATAGGACACGCTAGCCCGGAGGCTATACCTCCCCAGGTATCGGGTAGAGGGGCCACTACCCCTCTGTGTCAGGGACCCGTGTATCACACAGTTGTATTAAATAAACGTGTTGCCTCAAGCGATCCGTCTCCAGTCTTCTTGGGCCCACTACACTTGTATAAAGTATAATATAATAATAGCCTATATTTTATAAAAGTACCTCAAAGCGCTGTACGTAAAAATGTAACGACACTCGGAATCCCGAATGGACCGAAGAAGGAGATTCCATGATCGCGGAGAGTCTCTCTAAGCAGATAAACGACTTCCACAGACAAGCATAAATCATAAACCAATCCACTGTTCGTTTGTGTTGAGCCAATGCTGCTGAAATGATGCCTTCCCAGAAGGGATGCATATAGAATGGCTTGCCTTTGGCGATGTTACCCTCGCTGAGGGAAGCCATTGTCAAGAAAACGGCTTTGACATCACTGTTTAGAAACACGATCGTTGACAAGAAAGAATTTATAAAAACTGAAGAGTGCACAATTGGGGGAGGGATATGTGTGCTCAGATAGGAAGAGGAGCACACGGAGAAAAGTGAGCCAGCTTAGGCAGAACACACCATGGGCTACAAGGTATTATGGCCGACACTGAATAATAATGGGGCAGTGGTGGCCAAGGACTGTAACGAGTCCGGACCTGCATTGCCAGGGGTTTTAATGCGATTTCTAGTCTCACGCTCTCGCTTGTGCCACCTTTGCTCCTCGAGCTCTGCGTGACATGGCAATCGTGCTTCAAAGCACCCCGCGTGATGCTCGTGTGCGCTCACAGCATGTAGGTGATGACTCCCACGCTCCACATGTCGGTCGGGAAAGACACAAACTCATAGTTGACGACTTCAGGTGCCAGGAATTCAGACGTCCCAAAGCTGACCTTCAGCTTCTCCCGTGGCTTGTACCTTTACACACGCGCATGCACGCAAATGTACGCACACACGCAGCCTTACAGCCTGATGGGGCAAACGCTGGCACTGCACACATACACGTGCAACACAACTTCGAAGCCACTGTGAGTGAGAGAATGCGAGTTAGCGACCAAGAGAGTTCACGTGTCAAGAGGTTTCACGTAATCGTGGATAAGTAATCGCGATTTTCAGCAAGTAATCAAGGTTGGGGGGGGGGGGGGGGGGGGGGGGGGGTGATAGGCTGACTTACCTGCGTGCAAGTCCAAAGTCAATTATCTTAATCTGGTAGCCCCACCTACTCAAGCACAATATGTTTTCTGGCTGCAAAAGACAGAGACGATGGGTAATGGGTGTGAGAGCATGTAGGGTGGCAAGGGTGGAAGATGCACACCCTACTGCCCCCCCCCCCCCCACACACAATGTCTCTCCTGGGCTCCAAAGCTCTCAAGGGTCACCTTGGTTACTCCAGCCACAGGTCCAACCTTGGCTACCTTGCCTTTGTTCCTACACACTTGAAGCGTTCAGGATAAACACGTGGGAATGAGGGGCCATCACTTGTATGAGGGGGCTACTTAAGCACTCTGAACGTGCTGGGAAGGTAATGGAGAGGCAAGGTAAGTCATATGAGCCTCAGGAAGGCCTGAAAGATTAGCTATGGCCAGGAATGTCAAGAAAAGCCTTGGGAAAGCCAGAAAAAACCCAGGAAAGCCACAGAAAATACCAGTTTTTTGGAGATGGACAAACATGCCTGGCAAGATTCAATGAGCATCAGTGAAGGCCCGGGAAAGCCAAAAAGATGTGAGAGATGTTTAAGAATTGCAAACCAGGTGCAGGGAATGGCAGGAAACTTGCCCCAAGATGATCTTGGAAGCTAGATACATACAAAAATCGCAAGTAAATTTACAGTTGGCAAGGGAAGGTGAAAGAAGTTGATAAAGGTCAGCAAGTCACAGAGAGGTCTAAGAGATACCCATGAATGCCAAGGAAGAACCAGGAACTTATGGAAGGTTAAAACAGACCTCAAGAAGGCCTGCGAGACAACAAAAAGGTTAGGGAATGCTAGGAAAGTCCAGTGTAGGTCAAATAATTCAAGACCGTACTGTGCCAGATTTCGATACAAAAAAAAATTCTGTCACCCGAACGCAGATCATGCCAATTCGCAGGACCGTCCGGGTCAAATGCGACACGAAAACAAAAACCAAACAAAGTGAGTGTCGTTCAGACGAGGCCACGGGAGGCCCAGCACCTTGAGGTCGAGGTGCAGGATATACTGCTGGTGCATGTAGTGCACTCCCTCGCAGATCTGCCGCACGAACAGCACGGTGTCGAGCTCGGAGAGCCCGCTCTGGTCGATGATGCGGTTGAAGAGCTCTCCGCCCTCCACACTGCACAAGAGCGAGCGCAGTCATGAGTACGACTGGCGAGCGATACGCTGGCACAGCGGTAGCTGTGTGATTACGGTCGGCTGCTCACATTTTAACATCAATTGACATTTTCTGATGAGGCGTAACAAAGACAAAGATCCCCCTTATAGCAAGGGTCAGCAACCTGTGGCTCCGGAGCCACATGTGGCTCTTTAAGGACTGCTTCATGACGTTATTTTTTAAGGACCGCTATCTGGCATTCAAATGCATTGCAGCTCTTGAAATATTTAGGTTTTTTTACCGAACTTGAAAAATATTATCTTGCTATTTTGGTTTCCGACCACAGCACCATGTACGCCTGGCCACCTTTGTTTCCCCAGTGCCAACATTTAACACGCTGCACTGGGTGCTCATTTCAGTTCGAGTTAGTAGGTAGCCATCTTGGCCACTGCCAATGATGTCACCGATCCTGCCCATCACCTCCGTCCCTTTGCCAGAATCCGCAGACGTCGCGCAATGGACGCCTGACCTTTTATTTAATCAGAGTAGTTCACCTGGACGATCCCTTGAGATGGGACCAGGGAGTGCAGAGTTTGAATGACACACAGCAAAACAAAGACAAAGATCCCCCCGTATAGGCTAAACATACGATTGGGGCAGGTGCTGTTCATGAGCACCTATGAAGGCCGGCAAGGCACATGAGGGGGTAGGTGGCCGTCACCACGCCCGGCTGCCTTTGTCTCCCCAGTGGCGATATTTACACACCATACCAGGTACTCATTTGAGGCTGAGTCGACCTCGGTGAAGACCCAGAACCGGTTCAGATAATCGTCACTGGTGGTGGCCGTGAGTGGGAATCGAATTCGGGTCGCCAGGTTTGTAGCACAGCGCACTAACCACTACATTACCGCTCTCCATACATCACAAACACGTAATGACATGCACACACACACAGTTCATATATACTGTATACCCTGTTGTAACTCTGCCCTCTTGTAGTCTCATGTAGCTACATGCTGACAGTGTCACCCAGAATGGCTCGGAAGTTCCGCTCACTCCTGGTACTCACTACTCCATGATGAGGGTGATGTCCGAGCGAGACTCGTAGGCATCGAAGAGCTGCACGAGGTTGACGTGGTTCAGTTGGTTCATGATGTTGATCTCATTCTTTACCTCCTCCTGCGAAAACACGCGGAGACAATGTGTATGCATGTTGAACCTCTTTTGCTCCGCAAGCAGACGGCTGTACTAATTGGAGGTGCGACATCAAATCCACGTGTGAGCGTGCGCGGTGCGATAACGGGTTCTTGCTAACAGCACTCGCCCCAACGGTCGGGCGGCGAGCGCGAGGATGGGCGCGGTTCACGTTCCCCGCGAGGCTGCGAGCGGTACCTTCTCCTTGGGGCTCTTCACGCGGATGACCTTGGCTGCCAGCGTCAGTCCTGACGACTTCTCCTGGCACCTCATCACCCGGCCAAAGCGGCCTCTGTGCACACACACGGCGGTTGTTCTATGAATAAACCCGCCCTTGCCATAGCAATGTGGATTTCCACCACTGGCTTAGTGGCGGGAGATCAGCACCGTCTCAATGCTCATTTGTGCAGGAAATCGCTTTGGTGCAATGTGAGGAATGGAGTTAGGGATAAGCTGGATTATATTATCTCGTCAAATAAAGAAGCCAACTCACCCTCCCAGGACGTCCGAGTGGCTGAGGGAGAAGTAGGTTCCCACGGTGATGGAACGGGGAGACACGATGCGGTGATTGAACGGAGCAGGAGGGGGCGGAGAGTCTTCTGTGGAAGTCACAACATGTTGGCAAATCAGCCCATGATTTGAACCTTCGAATATTTAGCAATTCTCTTTCAATCAATGGTCAGTACCTTTCCCACAGAGCAAACCTGGTCATATTCTCAGTCAGCCTAGGTCTGTAAAACCTGTACAGTGTAATGCAGAATAGGTATCAGATATCGGCACAAATCAATCCCTGCCACGTGAACACAAATACTCGTTCCCAGACTGTCCAAATGGACATTTTTTATTCAAAACTCTAAACAGCGCAATAGCAGGTGTCAAGGAATGGGCCCACAGTATGATGCTCCGGAACTAGTTTTGAAATCCCTTCAGATTGAACCCCAATACCCCCCACTGAGCGTCGTGAAGTCACCGGTGACCGGAACGAGACCAACTCGCTACCAGTGGGGGACCCGGTGTGATTCCGGGCATCTATAGCCTGGATGCAGAACCTGGGAAACTCATCGACGCTGGCTCCATGGGCATTGCTGACACGGCCATTTTTACGAGCTGCCCGATTCACATGGCCATTTTCACCACTGCTATTTGATTTCACGCGCAGGAACTCGGGGGCGAATATTATTCGTCATTGAATCTCGGGTTCGGCCACAAGTCGACCTGGCCACGTTTGTGTCATAAGACCCTCCTCCACCCCCCGACACAGCCAAACTGACTTCGTGGATTGTGATTCCGACTTCCTGCATATCGTCCTGATGATGCTTGGTGCAGTTTCAAGCAAAAGGTCGCCAATATGACCGCTGCTGAATCTCGCTGTGAGAATCCAAACCGTGAGGTAAAACATCATCGATTGCCACCTTGTTAAATGCCTTTACACCGCTTGGCTATTTAATTATTTTGGTTGTGTCAGGTGGTGGACTGTCTCATGACACCAATTTTGGCAAATCATTAAGTAGCCAAACCCAAACATCTTTTGTGAATAATGTTCACATCAATTACCGTAATCACTCACCGCAAAGAGGACATCACAAACTTACCAATGATGGCTGGTACAGGCGGCTCTGCTGGTGCCTCCTCCTCATCCTCCTCTTCACCCCCCGCCGGTCCCTCTGCTCCCTCCCCCTCCTCCTCCTCCACCCTCGCTTTCTTCGCCTCCGCCTCCACCTCCCTCCCCCCCACGGCACCGTGTTTCTTGCTGGCAGATCCCTGGATCTCTCCTCCACTCTCCTCCTCTTTCTCCTCCTCCTCCATGTCCTCTTCGTTCAAAGCGCTCTCTCCTCCTGCACCCTCTTCATCTTCAGCTGCCACGGCAACCCCAATTTCTTCCGTTTCCTCGGTTTCCGTGTTTACATCAATCACCGCATTGCTCTCCTCGGCCGTCTTGCCATCCTCCGATGGCCTAGTTACTTTGGTTACCTCTGCCACCTCGGTCACCTCTGTTTCCTCGGTTACTTCTGGCATCATCTTTGCTTCAGTAATCTCGGTAACCTTGGTCACTCGCTTAGCCATGGTTACGCCTGGTGCCTTGGTTACTTTATTCACTTCTATAACATGAGTCACCTCGCCTTTTTTCACTTTAGTCACCTTCACCGCCACATTAACAGCTATTTGCTTAGTTACCTTGGAGACCAGAGCTGCATTATCCTTCGCCTCAGTCTTCACAATAACCTCAGTTGCTTCAGTTACCTCCATCACCTTGATGACCTTTGTTTCCAAAGTTACGCCACATGCCTCGCTTGCTTTGGCGACATTACCCTTCCGAGCAATCACAGCTGTCACGATTACCCCCTCCGGCCTGGCGCTGTCAGATGAGGCATCCACCCTGGCGCCGTCACTGAAGGAACTCTCACGCTCATCGTCAGAGTCGTCGCCTTTCTCTGTCCCAGACTCATCATCCACAGACCCTTCTCCCTCCTCATCCTCCTCTTCAGTCACTGCCTCTTCCTCATCATCTTCTTCTGTCACCCCCTCTTCACCATCGTTCTCCTCTTCTGTCACTACATCTTCATCTTCCTCCTTTTCTTCCCCCTCCTCTTGCTCCTCACTCTCCGAGCTAGCAATGGCCACTCCCATTTCCTTGTCACGCTTTACCCAACCACCATCGTCACCACCACCATCGTCGTCACCATGGCTGCCTCTCTTCCCCATGTCTTCCGACACTGCCTCACCAGACACGCTGTTTGCTTGTCTTCTCTGTCCCACCTCCTCCTTCTTCTCCTCCTCATCACTGCCTCCTTTTCTCCCGGACTCTTCCTCCCCTGCTGTCGACTCTTCATCCTGCGGAGTAACGTCACACGAGCACCCCACTGCAGCGACTCTGAGCATCCTATATCTCGGCTCACCCATCTCAGACTAGTCAAGGGGTCCTCTTGCAGTGCAAGACGAGCGAAGGCCTCAAAGAAAAGACTAATTCGAGAGAATATTCAGAAGAGGGCTCCTGAGAAACGTACGTGTGGTGGTGCATTGCCGCATGCAGCCCCTACAGGGTTACTGGCAGGCTGAGTGGTTATATTGGCAGTGCGTCGACCACTCACCTGCCCTTGCTCCATGGTAACACTCTTGTCCGTCGTTTTCCTCCCCATGCCTTGTGCAGGAGCAGGCTTCCACAAAGATGCCTCGGAGCCATTAAAGCTGCCTTCTGCCAACACCACCTCCTCAATCCTGCTGCTGCTGACCCTGCTGCTACTGCTGATGCTGGTAGTACTATTGGCAGCACTACTGATAACTTTGCTGGTGTTGCTGGCAGTGCTACTAAGAGCTTTGCTTGTGCTGCTGGTGCTGGTAGTAGTACTGGCAGCACTAGTGAGACCCTTGCTGGTGCTGCTGGTGCTGCTGGTGCTGCTGGTGCTACTGGCAGCGCTACTGGGAACTTTGCTGGTGCTGCTGGTGCTGGTAGTAGTACTGGCAGCACTAGTGAGACCCTTGCTGGTGCTGCTGGTGCTGCTGGTGCTACTGGAAGCGCTACTGGGAACTTTGCTGGTGCTGCTGGTGCTGGTAGTAGTAATGGCAGCACTAGTGAGACCCTTGCTGGTGCTGCTGGTGCTACTGGCAGCGCTATTGCGCACTTTTCTGGTGCTACTGGCGCTAATGGCAGTGCTATTGGGAACTTTGCTGGTGCCGTTGGTGCTACTGGTGGCAGTCTTACTGGGAACTTTGCTGGTGCTACTGGCAGCGTTATTGGGAACTTTGCTGATGCTGGCAGTAGTACTGGCAGCATTACTGAGAATATTGCTGGTGCTTCTAGCACTACTGGCAGCACTACTGACAACCTTGCTAGTGCTGCTGGCACTACTGGCAGCACTATTAGGAACGTTGCTGGTGCTGCTGATGCTGTTAGTAGTCATGGCAGCACTATTGGGAACCTTGCTGGTGCTGCTGGTGCTACTGGTAGCGATATTAGGAACTTTGCTGGTGCTGCTGATGCTGTTAGTAGTAATGGCAGCGTTACTGGGAACTTTGCTGGTGCTGCTGGTGCTGCTGGTGCTACTGGCAGCGCTATTGGGAACGTTGCTGGTGCTACTGGCAGCGTTACTGGGAACTTTGCTGGTGCTGCTGGTGCTGCTGGTGCTACTGGCAGCGCTATTGTGAACTTTGCTGGTGCTACTGGCAGTGCTACCGGGAACTTTGTTGGTGCTGTTGGTGCTACTGGTAGCGCTACTGGGAACTTTGCTGATGCTACTGGCAGCACTACCACCGTTAATGCCACCGGTGCCGGCTGTTGAGACCATGGCAGTCGGTGGTCCGGCGTCGCGTCTCGGCCCCGCGATGTGGCCCCCGGTGGCCAGGTGAGCGGCCTCGCTGCGTCTCTCCGGGGCTTGCCTGCCGAGGGGAAACCTCTCTGGGGGTTTCCTGCAGCCTGCACGGCACCACAGGTGGAGGGGGGGGGGGTCCAGGTTGAAATCATGCGGCCGTGTTTGAGACGCGACGGCGCGCTCGCGGTTCGTGCCGGCCGAGCGTCGCTCTGCCAAGCCGGCGGGGGGTCAGAGCGGTGGGGGGGGGGGGGGGGGAGGCTCACCATCGGGGCCGAGGGTGCCGCGTCTCTGCAGGTCGATCCCGTCACCCGGTCGGTACGCGTCGTTCCCGATGTCTCCAGTGCGGTTCGTCTGCAAGGGAGTGCAGACGAGGGTTCGGGGCGTTAAGCGAGCGCCGCCTTAAGGCCGGAGCGGCGGGACGCGTGTGGCGGTGCTGGGCACCCCAGACATGCGTAGCGCTCGTCTTTACTGCACCACCTCAAAGACGCCTCTTGGTAGAATGTCTCTGCTGGAAAATCCCTGAGGTCGAGGCGTCTCGTGTGCAGGGTGTTTCAGGTGTCAAGTGACAAACGTAGCAAACACGTAGAGTATTTACTTGCAATAGGATTCTGTTTGGTGTTTTAACCTCTTCACGCCTCATTTATTACCAGAAAGGGTCAAACTTATTATTACACGTAGTGTTTGGTTGCTATAAATGTCTACGTGGTGATAGGCCACTTCGTTGAGCTATCATTTGTGATGGCCAGGTCGCTTCTGAATTAGAGTTGTATCGTAACTCAGTGGGCCTTTACTCGGTCAATAAAAATAAGTTGTATTATTCGTTGCAACGTACAAAGACACTCACATACAGAGAATATACGCGTGTACACTACTCACTCGTATACACGTGTAGTTGGATTCAACTGAGTCGCAGATGTACTTCTTGGAGGCAACACATATTTATTTACACCAACACATTAGCACAAAGCGGTTACTGCCCCTTTACCAGATAACCGATGTTGGTGGACCACCAGGCTAACTACGCTAGTTACTGGGAGTAGCTACAACGGACAGGACCCTGGCTTGGGTCCTTGTCCACGTGTTGGTGACTTTTTCTCTTGGACGTAGATCGTAGATCTTCAGATGACAACAGCAACGCAGTGCCCCAGTCCCTGTGGGGACCCGGTGTATATGTTCCCGGGTCGTGGCTGGCCTCGCCCTTGGCCACGACCACCTTCGAGAAATCGCTTGTCGTTTCTCGACCCTTCCCGTAGGATCTCACCCTGACACGTGACCACCCCCGGACCCCCGCTGGGGGCCCGTGTAGATCTTACTTGTCACGTGCCTTCCCAGGTCAACCAGAGTGCCATGGCCCAGGGTAACCTTATCCCATGGCTGACACTCACACACTCCCTCCTGTAGGAGTTAGCACTGCACGCCACACGTGGTGCCACTCAGCGCTATCCCAGCGCACACCGAGCCCCCTCTAGGGCTGGTACTGCACCCACCTATGGGGTGTCCGCGATGACAATGCATCGCATGCCGAGCCTCGCTAGAGCCGGCATTATTCCGTGACATTCACGATGTCACTACATACCAGTGACGTGCGGTGAGGTCAATGGCTGGAGAGGCACTGGCTAGTGTCAGAGCCAGATTCACACACCTCAGTGAGGCAGATGTGATAGCTGTCTCCCCTGGTGCTTTTTCATTGCAGTTTCATGACGAGACCAGCGAGCCTAAATATCTTTATACACATACGTGAAATAAGTTACCTGGAATATGGAAGGCGAGGACATGAAATGAAGGGGTCTACAAACATTACATTGGCGACATACTGAGATAGTAACAGGCACGCGCTTATTGCCCGCGCTCCATCCAGTTACGGAGGGGTTGTGCAATCAGAGGGGAGGCTCAGCTCATCGCTGCCTCGCCTCTAGTCTCCACGTGTATTTGCAGTGGAGCTCCGCAAATTTGGCAATTTTGATTATAAAAATGATTAGAATCGTACAGAAATGACATTTATAACACATATCAGTGGAAAAATCTTAATATAAATTGTATTTGATTGTTCTTTTTTTTTACTTTTCGTAACAGCTATTTTCATTGGAGTATGACAGGTGAGGCTCTGCCTCCCCTGCCTCCCCTGACCGCACGTCCCTGCTACATACGTGATGTCAGCGATGCGAGTACATCGCACGCCGTGCCTCTCTAGCGCTGGCACCACATAGTGACATCTGCGATGTCACTACACGTACAACACACTTTAATTAATATGTTCCTCATAGGTCTCAGTGTAAATGCTTACCCCGAGCTCTCAATACTCTGATAGTGCGCTCTTTTTGAGTTGTACGCCTTTTGGCGTCTTCTGGCCCAACACCAGTGGAGACTAGGCTCTAAGAAAAGCCGTCTCGGGTGTGGACCAATCAAATTCAAGGACACTGCATATTATTATCAGAGTTGTCTCTTTTGTTTGCATTTTGACTGCTTGTGTTGTGGTTATTGCAAACATGATGCCTTGAATAAAGGTGTCAGTTTTTGTGCCAGTTAAAAGGGCAAAAACCTATTACTATATCTTGTTACTAGCAAAGGAGGTATCATAATGTAATATGTTCCTTTTAAGTTGAATTGACCTCAGCAAATACGAAACCTTGTTTGTATTATTTACTTGTTTGTATTCCGCCCGGTTGACAGCTCAAATTAAGCCCGAGGTAGTGGGGGTGCTCATCTCCTGTTTACAGCCCCAAGCCAATGGTGGAAATTCCACATTGCTATGATACGGATGAGTATATCCGGAACTCAACCCCCACCCAGGAGTCGACCTAGCAACCTATGTTTCCACGGTGGCTAGGAGATTTTAACTATCTCGCCTGATATACAGGAGGTCGTGGGTTCGATTCCGACCCTGATGCCTGCTGTATAATTGGACTTTGTGTTTCTCTCTCTCCCCGTGGTTGCGTGGATTTTCCCCAGGGTCCTCCGGTTTTTCCCTCCACATTTAGAATCAACATCACGCGTTTAGAGTTATGTGGCTACTATAAATGTCCACGCAAGAAGCTACTTCGTTGAGCTTTCATTTGTGGTGGCCAGGTCGCTTCTCAAAAAAAAAGTCCAGGTTTAGTTTGAAGCTTCCAACCGCGAGCCACTCTCCCTGCTGCCCGGCGGCGCCGAAAGTGCCATGGGATTTTGGTGACGCAACGTGAGGCAGAGCGGCGGACAGCCCCCGCGTGCCTCTCGCTTCTCCCCGAGCCCCAAGGGCACAGACGCGGCTGGCACGGACGTCGACAGCCACGGCAGGAGGCTGCCACCCAAGCCGACCTTCTCGGGTGCCTGCTCCGTGTGCCGCCGCTGCCACGGGAGACGGCCGAGCGAGCGAGCGAGCGACGCGGCACGCGTGGACGGTGGCCGCTCTCCGCACCGCGAGGCCCCGCAGGCTGCGACCTGCCCGGCGATTCAATCAAGAAAACATGAAGTCTGAAGCCATCGGCAGATGGGCAGAGGTCACCGTGGAGGCCACCACAAAGGTAAAGGTCTCCCGTGTAGCCTTAACAGACTGTTGTGGCAAGTGTTGTTAGCGAGTAGCACCTATCAAGGCCGGCACGGCACACGAGGGAGTGGGTGGCCAACATCACGCCCGGCCGCCTTTGTCTCCCCAGTGGCCATGTTTACACACCGCACCAGGTACTCATTTGAGGCTGAGTCGACCAAGCGGAGGCCCATGACTGATACAGATAATCGTCGGTGTTTGCCGTGAGGGGTATCAAACTCAGGTCGATGGGTTCATAGTGCAGTGCGTGAACCGCTACAACACCGCCACCACGGACCCCATGCCACCCGCATGTCCAGACCAGCGTGAGATGTTGTTCACCGCTTTGCCGCACGCACACAAAGCTTGGAGCAAGAGACGTGGCACGGGGAGCTTGGAGCAAGAGACGTGGCACGGGAAGCTTGGAGCAAGAGACGTGGCACGGGAAGCTTGGAGCAAGAGACGTGGCACCGACCTGCAAACCAGAGGTCGCCTGATTGATGCCATCTCCCCTACATCATTTACCCTTAGGCCTGCCGCCGTGCCGTTTGTACTTACGTTCGTTCGTGCGAGGCCAAGCAGGGCATCCGCACTCACATTCCATCGGAGTCGATTGGGTGGTTCGTGATTTTTCGGGACCAATAAATCGATCTGAAAAGCGTTACCGAATAACAACTTCCCCAATGTATATGCAACAAGAAGGCGATTCGCCTCCTTTCTACGTGCGTCCGTCCACATACAAAGTCAAAACATATTTTTACCCATCCCATCATGGGACACGCAGGCCATCTGGGAGTGGCAATGGCTCAATCCAAGAAAACGTTGTTTTCCCGGTCTCTTCAACAGAGCCAGGCCTGCTCGTGGATCGACGCCTCACAGAACCCCATGGACATCGCTTCGTTCGTGATATTTGCTTCGCGCTGGAGACTCTTAAAGGACGCCTTGGATCTCACGAAGCCCCGCGGAGGGGCCAGCTCAGGTGGCAGGACGAGGCCCTGAACACTGAGCGGTGGAGTCTGGGTAGAGGGTCTCTGGCTGAACTTCACGCCCCGCGCCACCCACAGAATGTGAAACACCCCCACCCCCTCCCTCCCACCGCGATATTCCCGGGGTGTCCCGAGACGGGAAACAGAGATCCTGCCGTGGACTGGCTGCCAGCACCTCGTGGCCTGGGTGCCAGTGCCGCGTTGGGTTTGCAGGAGGTGGGGGGGGGTCGCAAATGACTTGCGGCGCAGTGATAATGGTGGTGATGGTGCTCAACATCGCTAGCAGTAGCACCACGACCATCAAATAATAATAGTACTTTGAGTGTAATGTGACCAAACAGTTCATGAATATCAACAAGACAGACAACTGAGAGACAAGTCACGATGCCGGTAACGTCGAGGCAGAACGGACGACACAAACGAGAGAGTAATTACAAAAGAGACGATACCACACAACAACACAAATGCACAACGAGACTTGCTGAACGGATCCAAGACTGATCCACGAGCCGAATCATTAATCGCGCAGAGACAAATGCAGCTCTGGTCAAACGGCGAGGAGACAGACGTGAGGGGAGAGACAGGAGTGGCGAGGTGTAAAGGAGAGAGACGCGAAGGCAGAGAGACGAGGGGAGATATACAAGGGGAGAGACAAGAAGGATACACGAGAAGACACGAGGATACACGAGGGAGCAGTGGGGAACATTCCTCCGTTGGAAACGCGACGCGGAATTGAGGTCAAAGGATTGAAGGATTTTTTTTTCTTCTGCAAACTCTGAGAACAGCCACCACGACCGCGCCAGAGCCGTTTTCTCCAACTCCCAGCAGCAACAACAACAACCAACACCACCACCACCACCACA